GGTTGGAGTCCGCCGACGGAGGCGGAGGACGAGGTGACGACGCTGCCTCGAGACAGAAGCCGACTCGGCGGGGCCTCGTCGTCTGTCCTTCAAGACGACGACTCGAACGAGGCGGGACTCGAAGACGAGCCGACCGATCGCGGCGCTAGCAGCCACAAAGTGGCCAGACACGTCGTCCGCGAAGACAGACCAAGTGACCGTCGAGTCGTCCCTGACTGGTCGCGAGTGTCGGTGCCCGAAGAGGACGGTCGTTTCCAAGAACTGCTTCGCGGACACATTGTCCAGTCGCTCTTCGACAGCATGGACCATGACCGTAAGTCTTCTTTCTGTCCGACAGCCTCTTGGAAAACAGCATTTCTTCTCTTCGCACGACATGATGTAGTAAACATGGTTGAAACGGGATGCTGACTTGTGGGAGTGACTTTCATTTCGGTTGACCAGACGCAGCAAAAGGATGCGTATGTTGGTCTCACGGCTTGGAGTCGCGACGGTAGATTTGTGCGCACTTTTCGGTAATTGACCAAAACCATCGTGATAATCAACGGGATCGGTTAAAAGTAATATTTGTCGATAATACTTATACATCAGGCTAGATTGAACATAACATTGGATTAATGAAGGATACCTTTTTGAATGGTGGATAAGTAGAGAGAGATGAGGAGACCTTTTCTCGTATTTTGGCTTTACCTTCGGGCATTCTTTCGAAAAGGAGAGGTAAACAAGTAGGAAAGTAACGAATATAAACGGTTTTTACGGTAACTATGACACTTTCTTCAATTATACCCACTTTTAGAGAGAAAGTTGACTCATTATCCGGATCGGATTGCTAAAAAATAATGTGTTCATTTGGTCGCTTTTATGTCAGCGAAACGTCTGAGAAGGTACCACGTCTACGATCCGACTCTGGACTCCAGACGAGGTGTGCTTCTCCAGTTCTTCCTGCCAATATGGCCATGTCGCGAAAAAAAGGTCAATCAAATTCACCCAGGCTAAGAGTGACGATATAGTGTGTTTTTGTGAGGAAATAACATTATTATGAGATGTATTTAACCTATTTCGTTTAAGGTGATGAAGGACTGGTAGTCGAATTTTCCCACAATGAAATGAGTAGAACTGAAGTTTACATTTAATTTCACATAACCTTGCTTTCCCAAAATTTGATTTCCTTTTTGGAAAGCAAGGCTATGTAAAATTGAATAGAAACGTCAGTTCTACTCATTTCATTGTGGGAAAATTCGACTACCAGTCCTTCATCACCTTGAACGAAATATGGTGAATACATCTCATATTACTGATTTACCGGTAGTCTCGCAACCCTATTTGCATACGAAAAATAATTACTTATTTGGTCTACCTGTCCCTTTTAGATAATTTGTTATCGTGCTTCTGGGCTGCTTTTACTTCCTACCTTATAGACGTCTGGTATATATTCTCCAGCATTGATACAGAGCCGTCTCTTGCTAGGCTCGATGTAGCTGTCACTACAGGAGCGTCTGGACTGGTAGGATGCTTTTGCAATGGGTGGCGCATATTTCGTGACTACATTTGTCCCGAATAAGTCCTTTAACCACCATAGGTCACATAAGCTAGTTAATGATTGATAGCTATATTTTCCAACAAAGAAAAGAGTAGGCCTGACGAGACCTCACGAGATAAACAAGTAATGAATTGTGATAATGAAGGTGTGATACGAAGATATGGGAATGGTGAATAGCCCAGGACAGAAGCAGAGATATCACAACAGTTTAGTACACAATTGATCAAAGGATCGGTTTCACCTATTTCTTTGACGAGCTGTAATTTTGTGGTAAGAGTGGCAAAGTTCACCAACGATGTCGGAAAAACGTCTGCGAAGGTACCGAGTCTACGATCCGACTCTGGACTCCAGACGAGGTGTGTTTCTCCATTTCTTCCTGCCAAAATATGGCCATGTCGCGAAGAGAGGTCAATCAAATTGCAAATAAATAAAATCTGACGTTAGTCCTGATTCACCCAAGCTAAGAGTGATGATATTGT